TGTGTGTGTGTGTGTGTGTGTGTGTGTGTGTTGGGGGAGGGCTATTCTGAATTCTGAACATTGGGGGATGTTTAGGAGAAGCTGTGCCTCTACCATTTGATACTAGTAACCCTTCCTCCTCCACCCCTGCTCGTGACAACCAACAACGTCTGTGGACATGACCAAATGTCCCCCAAATGAGTGTGAGGTGGGGAGTGGGAGATAGGTAAATTGCCTGCAGTTGAGAACCACAACTCTAACCTGGAGACACTGAGGTAGAAGAGAGGAAGAGCTATATAAGGTACTGGTTATTATCAAAGAGCAAACTGGGAACAGCAAACCACAGGGCGAGTCTGGAAAGAGGGAAGGAGTGTGGAAAGTTTTGAGTTACATTAAAATTTAACCGAAGATGGCCCTGGATTCCTCTGGATTAATTAGGAAACATCAAGTTGGGTTTTGCTATACATTGAAAGGTTCAACTTCATTATGTTAAAAGTGGATTAGGGCCGACGAGTGACGCGTTGGTTAAGAGCTGGCTTGGAACACCAGCTCTGAGCAGCAGGACCCTGGTTCGGATCCCACATGAGGACCAGTAATGCTGCGCCCTTTACAGCTCAGATGGTGAACAGCAGTTTGACCTGGAGCTGGGCTGCCGTGAGTTGCCACTGATGGTGTAGGCTTCAGTGGGCTGGCGTAAAGCTATCCTGAGTGGCTGCAGCCGGCGGGAATGGCCAGTGACCGGTGACCGATCTGCCTCACCCGGGAAGAACGCAATGAAAAACCAACATGGACCAGTGAAGCGACGTCCTCCACAACTAGACTGAAGAACAAAAGGACAGCAACTTGTCTGTTTCCTTTCTCCGATTCCCCAACACTGTCCCCTATCCTCAATTCCCCAATAAAATCTTTTTTTAAAAAAAGTGGATTAAACGTAAATACTACTCCTGAAAAAAAAAATTCAGGAGCTGTGCTGACCACTCTTTATCTGGGAAAAGTTAAACATACACAAAAGTAGAAAAAATTGTATCATGACCTATTCAATTCTCATCACCCAAGATCATTAATGATTGATTAATGGCCAATCTTGTTACATTTATATCCTGCTGGCTTCCCCTGCTACTCACTCCTGGGTTATTTAGAAGCAAATTCCTGTCACCATTTCGTTTCATTTGTAAATGTTTCAATATGTGTCTAAAAGAAAGTACCTAAAAACCAAAATTATAATATAATGGTGGAATTTGAATCTTCCAGAAAGGGCAAGAATGAGAACTTATGCTGAGTAGTATCAGAAAGTTAAGGGAAAGAATGGGTGAGGATCAAGATTAATAGGGAGATTTAAAATCCCGGAGGGAATTGCAAGAGGGAGACACTGTCCCTTCAAGCTCTTTCCCTCAACTCTCCTCTCCTCTCTCCTGCTTTTGAGTGTCTCTTAGAAATGTTCTTATAAATATGTGGCAAGGCACAGGACACTGGGGTCCTTAGAATGAGAGCAGGCTTGCAGGGAACAGATCCATTTTCTAAAAATAAGAGAAATAAACACAATTACAATTAAGATGTTGAAATATTCTGTCAATGATGGATTGCTATTGCTCTATGATGATTTTCAATGAGTTTTTAGCTGATCAGGGTCCACTTTTAATAAAACAAAGCAAAAAGAAAGCCTTGCCGTTGCTTTTTAAAATTTGCTAGGACTGTGGTATTGCTTTCCTGTTCTCGTGTATTCTGAGAAGTTTCTTTCTTTTGATTTAGACTTTCTCACTTGATTTTATTATGACATAAATCTCCTATGTTTGGCGAGAGCCGTGTTGTATGTGAGACCTAAGCAGCTTGCTAGATAACATCTATTTTTTCCTCCTTCTCTTTAGAAGATTAAACTGAAACTGTTGTGTCTGATGCCAGAATAAATTTAACCAATCATGTTTTCTTTACATGTAGGTCAGTCCAAGGGACAATTCTGCACTGGATCCTATTATCCATGGGTTGAAGGGCGTCGTACATCACGGTAAGTAAGCCACGTATGCTTCTTTTGCTGAGAGGTGAAGGGCTAAGATCTCTTCCTAAAGAAATGGGGTTATCTTGTAGAGGACAGAGGGTGACACGCATTCCTCATTCACTGATGTTGAAGGGCATTAGAACCATTATTTGATGGGTAAAGAGCACGCCCATTTATTACCTACAAATGGATCTGGGTTAACAGTAAGCAATTTGTTTCTTTTCAGGTACCAGTTTGAATGTCTATGTTATAAATCAGAGTGCCCTAAGATGTACCATTCATGTTCGTTGAACCTGCCACTTGTCTCATATCTCTTCAAAAAAAATTCTTCTTTCAAGTATCTTTTAATTAACAAATTTCTTGATTTGCCGCTCAGATTTTTTTAAAATAATTGTTTTACATTTCAGTTACAGTTGGCATACAATATTATATTAGTTTCAGGTGTGCCACATAGTGATTAGATATTTATATAACTGGCAAAAGTGATCAGCCTGATAAATCTAGTACCCACCTGTCACCATACATAGTTATTATATTCCTTATGCCTCTCAGATTTAGGGAAAAAATTTAAGTAGCCATGACAACTCATTAAACTTTGTCACATGTGAGCAAGCATCATCAGCTACTCGGATGGAAAAAGCTAGGCCATTGTTCTGTGCAGCAGACATCTTTTCCTCAGGCATAAAACTGGGCGAGAAAGTAAGATAAATGGGTTCTGTCTTTCCCAACTGGTTTTTATTGGAGAAATTTTCCTGCAACTTTATTATCAGTAATACATCATTACCTATGACATCAGGGTCCTCTAATTTCAAAAGTACCCTTGTCACAGGGAGGGGTGGATTCTAGATGTAATGTAATGATTTGCAAAGTTTTAATACTCTCATTAGAATTCCAAAGACATTGGCAGAAATAGCATTAGTAACCATAATAAATCTCCCCTTCATCTCCACAGCTGTGATAAAACGCCTTCACACCTTTCTGGGAGGACTGTCTTTTGACATTAGCCAACTCTGCAGAGCTTAACAAACATCTCCCCCCACCCCCCACCCCCCCACACACACACACTTCTCTCAGGGAAACTGAAACCAGTTGTCAGTGCTCAGTTGAAGCAAATGGGATTTTGGATTAATTGTTCTGCTCGCATAGCTGTTCAATCATGCAGCAGGTAACAATAATAAACTTAGTGAATGCAGAAAAAGAAGAGTGACTGGAAACACCCTGTATAGGTTTACATTGTAAGCGTTTCCCTTTCTTCTTCTCAACTTCAGTTTGTGTCTCTGAAGCAAACCTCTCACAGAGCTGGCAGGTAGGTCGTATGACAGTTCCCTCCTTAGAACAAGACACCTTTGCCCAAGTTGATTCCGTCTGCACATTTGTGTTTTGATGTTGGTCGTGGGGCTTGGAAGGATAGGGAAGTGTGCACTGTACTCTGGGCAGCTTCAAAGTGCAAAGAAAGCTAGTGTTGTGGGCAACATGTTGTGTATTCTAGCTCCTTTCCCAAAAGATGCCCTTGAACACTCCATTGATCAAACTCCTTCTTGAAATTCCAGTCCATAGTGTAGATAATGAGTTTTGAATTTTGAAATATAGTAAATGATGGCTAGATCTTCCTTCCCCAGAGTAGTCTTCCTGTTTTAAAACAAACACACCATAAAGAGTTCTAGAATCTTCAAAATAGGTACCAGTCTTCAGCCGGAAAGGAAGCACTCCATCAGCTATGGCGTTTGAGTAGATCTGTGTGTTCTTATTTCCACAGTGTTAATTGAAGGAGATTCCCTGTTTAAAAATAAGCAGTTAGGCTTCCTTTAGCCCTCAGATCCCCAAGTCTCAGTAAGCTCACTCGTAGTGATCATTTGGGTCATAAGCTGTGTGCTGCTGGCATAATCGTGTTATCCTTACTCATTACCCACAGTTACCCTCTAAGAGGCCGTAATATGTAGGGATGCTTTACCTGGTACTGGGAGGATGGCAGAGATGCCTGGGATGCAGTTTCAACCCGATCTTCTAATTGAGAGGAGACCTGCAAAAAGAAATGACCTGTAAGGGCCGGCCGAGTGGCGCGTTGGTTAAGAGTTGGCTTGGGATGCGAGCTCTGAGAGGCAGGGCCGCCGGTTCAGATCCCACATGAAGGCCAGTGATGCTGCGCCCTCTACAGCTAAGATGGTGAACAACAGCTCAACCTGGAGCTGGGCTGCCATGAGTCACCGGCGACGGTATAGGCTACAGTGGGGCTGGCCAACAGCTGGTATGCACTTTTGTGAGCTGCCATGAGCGGCCGTCCAATGTCCGGGGAGTGACTGCCTCACCCGGGAAGAGTGAAATGATAACACCAACATGGGCCAGTGAATCAACCTCCTCCACATCTAGATTGAAGAATGAAAGGACAGCAACTTGTCTGTTCCCCTTCCCCGATTCCCCAATGCTGTTCGCTTCCCCCAATTCCCCAGTAAAATCTTCAAAAAAAAAAGAAGTGACCTATAAAGGAAGTTCACTGACATATTCAGCAAATGTGTTACGTGTCCTCTGTGTGGTCACAGGGTTGCCACTCTGATTAATACAGAAGCAGGCCAGCCCTCAAGGACCTAGAGGAAGGTGAAAGGCTGCCTTTCTCTTCCTGCAGCCTGCCCACTGTGGTACCCCTTCCAGCCTTTGCATTGGCTGTTTATTTCCTCTGTCAAGCAGGTCACCCCTTAGCTCATAGCAAGGGTGCCTTGCCTCCCTCTTACTGTTTCAGTTCCCAGTTCTCAGTTCAGACCTTGCCTCCTCAGAAAGTTCTTTCTGAATCATCAGATCACATTACCCACCCTCTCCCTATTTCTGTCACTCCTGGTCATATCAGCCTAGATTTCTTGCTTCAAAACACATAACAGTATCTGAAATTACCTTGTTTGCATATTTACTCATACATTACCTACTAAAGTGTAAGCTTCATGAGGGCAAGAACCCATGTGTGTGTGGGGTGTGTGTGTGTGTGTGTGTGTGTGTGTGTGTGTGTGTGTGTGTGTCAGATAGTAGATGCTCAATAAATATTAACCAAATGAGTGAATCAAGTAAGCATACAAATAAGTGAAAATATCAAAATACGAAACTGGAAGAAGGGAAGGCTACTAAAGGTTATATATACATATAAGGAAACTAAAGGCTATTCAGGTTTTGCTTTGATTGGGAAGAGAAAGGAATAGGTCATGTCTTGGAAACACAATTTTGCCTTCCCTTCTTGGGCTGTTGCTGACTTCCATTTTGATAACCCTCACCACTTCTGTCATTCTTCCAAAAGAGAATGAACATTTGAGATAGCTGAATAAAAATCTTTTGTTGGAACTAGAAGCATTTTCAGTTGAAGGTCCTGTGAGGGGTTTGAATGACCTGTTAATTTGATGAGACATAAATAATTGTGCCCTTCACGGTATCTCTGGCTTAGGAATGATGGTAGTGATGTGTAAAGAGGAAAAATCAATATCGATTTTTGTTACAGTCCAGAATTGGCTTTTATTTCTTCAGCTCTGGGAGTCATATCTTAGAATATTAATTTCTCATTAAGTGAATGTTTTATTAATAGGAAGACTCTTATATGTTCCTTTAGCTGGAGTGGGAATGAGTAATCTGGTCACAACAACCAACCACACATTGCACTTGGTCGTTAAGGCCCTCTATGAAGCAGACACCAAAGTGGAATTTTAAGTGCAGTAGAGATTTTTGGCCGGGAACGACTGCCTGTGAAGGATGAAGAGAAGAGGAAGCAGGAGTGTGTGTGTGGAGGGGGTGGAGGGCAGTGTTGGGAGCACAGCACAGATCTGACGCTGCTGAGGGGAGACATGGAAGCCAGGAGGACTGGCTGAAGGCGGCACTGAGAATGCCTTGGCCAGGCCACCGGCGAACCCCAGAGGCAAGACTGCCTGTGAGAGGAGTGGCCCAGCCCTGGAGTCCCCACCATGTCTGCTCATTGGCTGGAGCAGCCCAGTGAGAGTGGCACCCATGGTGGACCCAAAAGGTGGAGCAGCTACAGGCTGTTAGCTGAGGAGTCTCCTCACAGCGCTTTGTTTCTACAAAGAATGAGGGGTGCACTTCCATGGCTGGCACAGAGGTTTACATCCTTCCAAAGACATTTTCCAATTCTCATTTTTGTTCTCTCACCTTTAAAACGCTCAGAGGTTCTTACAGCAGTACTTGTTCCTTTTGTGCACAGTTATTAAGTGCCTAATCTAAGCATACCACAAAGCTAGGCAGAGAGAGCACAGCAGACGTGGGCCTGCCCTCAGTAAGTTTATAGACTCTTGGGAGAGTCATACTGTTAAACATGTAATTACATTAAAGAATGAGGAGGGCCGGCCGAGTGGCGCGATGGTTAAGAGCTGGCCTGGGACGCCAGAGGGCCCCGGTTCGGATCCCACATATGAGGGCCAGTGACACTGCCCTCCACAGCTAAGATGCTGAACAACAGCTCAACCTGGAGCTGGGCTGCCGTGAGTCGCTGGCGACGGCATAGGCTGCAGCCCCTTTTGCAGTGGGTTACCGTGGGTTACCATGGGCTACCATGTGTAGCCAGCAGCCAGCGTGAGCGGCCAGCAGCCAGCGTGAGCGGCCGTCCAGAAGCTGGTGACTGATCTGCCTCACCCAAGAAGAGCGCAATGATGATGCGAACTTGGGCCAGTGAAGCAACGTCCTCCACAACGAGACTGAAGAACAAAATGGGAACTTGTCTGTTCCCATCCCCCAATTCTCAAATAAAAATTAAAAAAAAAAAAAAAAGAATGAGGAGCAGCAGATTTCACTCAGACTTGAGGGGGTTAGAGAAGGCATCTCAGACAGAGTGACCATTAGGAACTAAAGAGTGCTTAGAGGTTGTCCAGGCAGGGAAGGGGCGTAGGTTTTCAAGTAGGAACTGTATAGATGAAGGTGTCCGGTGGTGAGAGATGGAGCATGTTTGGGGCTCTGACCTCAGTGGCATTGCTTCTCTAATATTGGAGGGAGATAGACTTAGAAACCTCTTGGTAAAATAGAGTGCTGTT